AGAGTGCTTGTAGCGCTATGGGGCGGTATATAAGTCAAATAAATAAATAAATAAATAAATAAATAAATAAATAAATAAATAAATAAATAAATAAATTGCCTTACATGAGTTCTGAGGATTTGCCTAACCTGCCCATAATGGTCTGTTTGGATTCATAGCAGTTTTCTGGCAAAGATATCTCATATCACCTGTTACTATAGGTGGCCTGCAATCTACACAGGGATCTCATCCTGAGATGCCAGAACATGAACCACTCCCACCTGCTATCTGATCCTCCTTTGCCTGGAGATCTTGAACCTTCTGCATGCATATTTACTTACTTACTTATTTACATACTTAGTTGCAATACTGTATTCTGTTTGATATGATGACATCCAGGTGTTTTTCATTAAAAATACATGCATAATAGGTGTAAGAAATAAGCAATACAACAACAATAAGTAATTTATAATTTAAAAAGATTTCAACCATCAAAGGAAAAAGCTCAGTGGGAATAATGGCTGGCCAGGGGATGCTTACAAAAAAAGGTACCGTATTTTTCGCACCATAAGACGCACCTTTTCCCCACAAAACAGGGGGGGTGGAAAGTCTGTGCGTCTTATGGAGCGAAGAAAACAGATTATATTTTCCTGTTTTCTCCTCCTAAAAAATTGGTGCGTCTTATGGAAAGGTACGTCTTATGGAGCGAAAAATACGGTAAATTGTCAATGAGCAGTGGAAGTTGAATATGCGTATTCTGTTTCTCTCATCATCTAGTCTAGTGAACAAAATTTCAAAAGATAGGTGCTACCACTAAGGAGATCTGTTTTCATGATGTTGCCTGGCAGCATTTGACTGATTGTGGAACAACCATTCAGCCTCCACTTAAAATCTCACATATCAACTAGCTGTGTATAGAGGAAGGGTTTCTGTTAGGTCTTCATGTGCTCTCCCAACATCAAGTTTCTTCTTATTTTAAAAAAAAGAGAATTATGAGGTTAAAACACTTTTTAAAAACCATCTTTCAGTATAGCCTAGTATAAATGTTTATGCTTATGTATCCTAATTTTCTTTTACATAAAACGACTATTAAAATGACCCGGCATTCAAGTGATGTACATACTTTCTCAACCTTGTTTTATATTTTCTGCATTTTAGTGGCCTGTGACGCAAAGTTAGTTTTTTTCAAAATACTATAAGCAATTGAAGGAATCACAGAACAAATTAAAAGTACAGTTTTCTTCAGCACTTTTTTGAGCCTTGATTCCTCTGTTTCTGAATTCTAGACAACCTCGCATCCAGGCAGCAACAGAAACGTTGGCCGCTTTATTTAAACATACCTGGAAATAAAAGTTTCCTGATTTGATCAATCATAATGGATTAGTCAATTAATTGATTTGGTGGATCTGCTCTTCTGTAGTTACGGAGGAGAAGGAAAACACCTGACAAATGCACTCATGTTTCTTAAAAGAGCAGTGTTAGATTTATATGCTAGCTAAAGGAACTACTATTTAAGGCTGTGGAATTTGAAGGACAAGCTTTAATATATATGTTTGTGAATGTGTGTAAAAATTACTAAGCTTAAACTCTGGCGCTGGGGGATCTGGACTCTGGAGGTCAGGAGGCCCCCAGAGCCAGCCCCTCCCAGCAGGGCAGGAGGGAGAGAGAGGGGGGTGGGTTATTTTGAGAGGTACCCAGCCCCCCCCGACCCCCATGACCAGAAACGGCACGCCCCTCGCTCCAGTCTCTTGGCACCTAACCCTAACCCTCTCCTGCTCTGGAGGGGTCTTCATGCCACCCCCAAACCCACCCACCTAACCCTTCCTTTTTGGGATTAATTCCTTTCCTGCTTTGATTCTGCCTCCCTTTTTTCTCTGTGTTGGGGAATCTATCTATCTACCTACCTACCTACCTACCTACCTACCTACCGACCTACCTACCTATCTACCTACCTACCTACCTACCTATCTACCTACCTA